TTCCCGTACGCTTCTTGGTCATCTCATAATTTTCAGACAGAACCAAACGACGAGCAATCGTAACTATCTTCTCTAGGGATTGAGCTGCTTCACCTGAAGCAATTAGACATTTATTAATGTCTCTTCTCAACTCCTCAATCAGTCCGTTAAGATATCTTGCAACCAAGACTGTCTCATCCGTCATACCTGATAGAGAACGATACTTGTTGAACTTCTCAGTATACGCATCTAGGGAACCATAACGACTCATACTCATAGTGAGTAATTTATTCGTAGCAGCGATCTTCTCGTCCTGTTCATTACGACCAAAGCGGTTAATGAACACACGCTTGAACCGATCATAAGTGTGGTTAGCACTACGATCCCTCAAAAAAGACGTCAACAACTCAGTCATGTCCCGATGGACCAAACAGGCTGGCAACAAACATCTCCAGTTATCCTGAATGTCCATACCATGCGACTCAAGAATTCCCTCAAATCTTTGAAAACAGTCACTGGGCTTTAACTCGTCAAACTTATAGTGACGGCGACTAACGATCTTACCGCGCCATTGAAAGATAATGGGTAATTGCGGAGGCACAAAGCTATGAACCACCTTTGGCTTAACAGCCTCGGGTACAGTCATCAAAGAGTTGGACCGAAGCAAAATGTCCAGAGCTCTTTGTTTCATGTTAAGCTCCGCCTCAAGTGTTGCAATCTTAGCGGGATTTTCTCCCTTAACCATTCTCAACACAAGATCCTTCGTGAGTCTTCCTACTTCTACCCTGTAGCAAGCCAAGGAAGTCTTCACAAACTGGGATTCCTCCAAATCGGACATATCCAATGGATCGATATCCATATCATCCTCTCCGATCTCACTCAGAGAATCGGCAGAGTCGCGGCTGGTATCGCCACTTGAATCTTCAGATTCCAAAAGAGGTTCAAAAACCCCACCACTAGCAGTGGCTTTTCTCTTTCCCTCCCCTTCACTTACACTGACCGGGGCCTTCTCCTTTCCTTTGCGAGAACCTGACTTGGTAACAGACTTAGCCTTGGAAGATTCCGTCTTGGAGGATTCAACTTCAACGGTAGCATAACGGCTAGCAGAAGTACCTAAATTGGCCTTGACCTTGGGGTTGGAGACATCCTGGTTAACAGAGCCAGAGTTGGACAGATCAGCGTTGGAGAGACCAGAGTTGGGAGAACCAGTGTTGTTGTTGGAAGACATAGCGAATGAAAAAATTTTTATAAAAAATTAAAGGATAAATTTGTATATAGATTAAAAAAAATGAAATATCGTAGATATCAAAATGGGTCTTTAAAATAATCAAAGTAAAGATAACTGTTGTGATCGAGCTTTATATATTCATGTATGCTTGATCCACACAGCATATTTTTATCCATTACGATAATTTTATAAACACTTCTTTTAATGTTGCATATTAAATATTCACAATTGACTTAACAAACTAGCACGATATTCATCAAGCTAAATACAAGTACAAAAGTATACATTTATTATACGATTATTCTAAAAAGACATTATTAATATATTGTACTAATCAGATTAGCGGAGGCCAATGACAAGCGAGGTTTAAAAGTACAAACATGATAAATTTTTGAATGTACTTTGATGACTTTTAAATGTACGCGTCAAGTGACACTACAGACCTATTATAGAAACGTGTACCACTCTTTCTTCTATTATATGATTCTCATTGGATTACTTACTTTCAAGATATGGCATGTCAGTCATAATCTTGCCTGTCATCTAGCCCTGTCTAAGAAGGAGGTCGAATTCAATATGTATATAAAGGACCCCTAAATTTTATGTTAATAAAAGTTCAGTTAATTTTTGCAATCTGGTTAATCTTACTTGTCATTTTTCCTAAATTATCATCGATTTATCAATAACCTTTTATTAAGAGTTGAATGAGCTTGTATTTATACTTTTACGAAGCTGTGTCTAAACTAATAGTAGATCCAATCGGGATTTACTATTCAATCGTTTATCCATTTGAATTGAATAAATGTTTATCCATGTATTCTTATTCGTTCATAACAATCTTTCCATGATTACGATCTCCAGTCTGTCTACTGAGATCTAATATTGGATTTCTATTGTTTCTATGATTCAATACATCTGCGATACAACAGAGGGAACAAGGAATCACGCAATATAGCTCGCAATTGTGTTGGTTGATCGAATGCTTGAATACTTGTGGACATTTAGGACTCAAGAAGAGGACGGAAATTGATAGACCCAGTAGACTATATACTGGCACCCAGGACACAACGAAAGTTACCAGTAGGTTGCATATACGCATTGGTTATTGCGACCCCAAATTTACGAAGTAGCTTAGGGGAATATAGTTTCACGATCAGATTGTTGTTGAAGAATATGTGTATTGGGACCCACGATGAAGCAAATCGCGTACCAAGATCTTAGACATACGGACGTTGTGGTGAAGGAAAACCACAGAAATAATTGACTCAGAGGCCAGAATAACAGGAGTGTTGGAAGCTGGAATAACAATTGAAGCTAGGCCCGACTGCAGTAACGTAGCTAATGACAAGTCAGACAGACTAAGACTATAGGTAGGTAAGGAATCCATCAGAGAAAAGAGAATTGTGAACGTATTTGTTGTTAACGGATGAAATCTATGTCTTTTTGTTGGAAATAGAAGTGTCAAATTGCTTACAACTTGAAAATAGCATAGAAGAGTTATGCCTAAAGTTAATTATCCCAAGAATAGGGTGGATATTTTGATGAAGAAAAAAACTAAAGCAAATAATAAAGGAATGGGAGTGTAACTTTTATAAATGTTTGAGAGTGTGATTTCTATAACTGATTGGGATTGCGAGTTCTACAAATGATGAAAAGATGGTTTTAACTAAACTTGAGATTTTTGAAAGAGAAAAAGAGATCGATTAGGGACCATACGCAACAAGCTGTCAATTTCACATTGCTCAATAGTAGAGAATTTTGTTTAATACAAAGTCCCAGGTGATTATAAAGAGTAAATGGGGGATTTGTGGTATTTGGGTACGATTCACTTAAGAATAATTAAGCAAATCGTTTAAATAAATAAACTATGAAATTAAAACAACCTTTGATGTTGCATATCAGCATACGCTTGTATACTGCTATACAACTTCTCCTACTTCGAGTACATACTTCTATATAAAAGATTGCATGATTGGCCTAAATACGATATACGAATGACAGTTGGATACAGAATGCTATACCAATGAGTTACGATATCACCGATCGAGAAGAGAAACTTCTTTGATCAATCAAGTATTATAAGAAAGAGAAACTTAATATTAATAGTTCTCTCAATGGATTAGCTACCCAGAGAGAGAATAGAACAGCTATTAATATAAATGGTTCATTTACTTATATATTGATATAGTTATACTGCTGATAAAGAGTATAAAGAAATAGTGTATGAATTAATGGATACCTAGCTTCTACAACCAAATATACAAATATCGATAAGACATTTTATATTTGGGATCGTAATTTATTCATTACAAAGATAATAAATAAATGATCAACCATTATGTTCTATTGCCAATTACACTTGACAAACAAGTATGCATTTTTTACAGTAACCGTTGCATGATCTGATAAATAAGTGTCTCGTAATACTAAAGATTTATTAGAATACTCATGCTCCCGATCCACTGATATGGGACAACGTTATCTGGAAACAATTCTAACGAGTAGTATCCATTTAACCCAAGGGGGGAAACAAAGTATAAATCTATTCCAAAACCAGAAAGGTTGACTCATCATTAAAACTCAGGAGAGTTGTGCAATATAAAAAGGATCAATTATTTCATAGCAGCAGAGTTCTTTTAGTCTATTTTTACCTCGAATAAAGATATGCTTTTACCTCATTACTTTTCTATGTAATATTTTGTCAAATACCACAAAAGGCCCGGACAGTTGTGCAATATAAAAAGGATCAATTATTTTATAGCAGCAGAGTTCCTTTAGTCTATTTTTACCTCGAATAAAGATATACTTTTGTCTCATTATCTCGCAAGTGTATTATTTTTGTCAAATTCCACAGGCCATTTTTCTATGTGGAATCAACGGCATCTTCAATGTCTCATAAATCAATGAAAAATGAAGCAAATGGACTTTTTTTTTTATTTTTATATCATCTTTAAATGTCTACAACGCGTTACATTTTGAGCTATGGTTATTACATAGGATCGCTAGTTTTTCTCGTTATTTTCGGGCACAGAATATGTCCAGAATCCGGCCTTCGGGCTACATACATCATACGCCAAACTGTGTTGTGGCGCGCAAATTTTTTTGCCGTTGGTATCTCTATGTTTATTTTTTTTAAATATAATGATAAGTTCCTGCGTGTCTTTATGTTTACCTTTGTAAAAATATATTACGAGAGAGTAAACAAATGTGTAGATGAATACTAAAAGGAGACTGTAAAGACTTAAAGATTTAAATACACAGACAGTTGTAGGAGAGATTTGCATTAGTAAGCTAAGGAAATCTGCCAAAGTAGTTATCTCGAGGAAATATGAAGAACTTCCAAAAATAAGACTAAGAATAAGATTATTTTTTATTGATTTACAAATTTAATGCTATTTTTATAGCTGTCAAATTTAACCCAAAATCACTCAAGAAAATTAAACCATAACTATTTCGGGTCTCTTAGGGACAGCCAATTTTTTCTTAGGGACAGCCAAAGTGCACGTAGTCATAGCCTCGGATCGGGTACCTTTTGGCTGTCCCTAAGAGATCACGTGACAAATTGGCTGTCCCTAAGGCGCCAGGTGAGGCAGTGGCGGTCCCTAAGAACTGGACAAATAAATCACTATTTTTTAGGCTCTAAAATAAAATATCCTCCTTCCATTTTTCAAGGCGTGAAGTTGGACAATTAAATCACTATTTTTTAGGCTCATAAAATCTCACCTATTTAAGTTTTGGTCCTTGATTTTTGTTATTTCCTTTTTCACTCTTACATCTTACGAATGTAAAAAAAATGAACAATCTCGAAAACGTTACCGAAAAAGAACGCCTTGTCATTCCCAGTAAAATAAAAAAAAATATGAAAGAAAGAAATCCTGTGATCGAAGCACTTTTTACGAAACTGAGCCAGTCCAACAATGAGGGGTCCCTGACTGAAGTTCATGTCGAGGATATCGACACGATCGTTACAGACACACTAACTTGCTTGAAGTGCCATGTTAATTACAATTCTAAAGGTGCATTGACTAAGCACTTGAAAGCTAAACATCAGATCGTCATCATCGGTGCCAAACGCGGTCGTCCCAACATTGGTGGGAGCCTTGCGTCCTATATCCGCTGTCAACAAAAAAAACCAAGTTAAAATCTGCTTTGGACTTTCCAGAAAAGAAACTTATGAAGCAAATAAGAAAGAAGATCAGCTATGAAGCTGTAAAATACGAGAGAAATGTCGGGTGGATTGCTTCGGAAAGAGAGACCCTTCTGGAAGACCTCCGTGTCTTATGGGAAATGTCTGGAACTGTATGGACAGCAGATTGTGCTTATGTAGAATACTTGTCCGAAATTACACCCATGTACCAATTTCTTATCACCAAACTATTGTTGGATGATTCGTACGAATTAACAGTAGAAATATCTTTGAGTATTTTAGAAATGATGTTCGAGCGTTTTCCTGGGATGTTTAAGAAAGATTTTAACCGAGAAATCGTTTTGGAAGCTTTGACTCCATTGAAGTTTAACAAAGGAAATGATCGGGAACAGGAGAATGTCCGTACAGATTTTGACTTTGACGAAGTAGATCATACAGAGATGAAAAAATTGCTGGAAAGTCACCGAAACTGTAAAGATATCAACCGAGCCCGGTTAGACATCATGCGCAAATTGTGTTTCCTGATCCAAATTCACTTTGGAGTTCATAATTTTGAATTTAAGATTGTAAAAATTCGATCAGGTTTTTTCTGTTCTTTTTTTGCTTGTGCCTCTTTTGATATTAAATAAATAATTGAATTTTATACTTACCTAAAGATATAACGTCGTTTTAATCGAATAACTTACATATCCAACTACAAGCCTTAAAAAATGGGAAGGAGGAGGGTTTTACATATATACCACGTATTTAATTGTAAGAGCCTAAAAAATAGTGATTTAATTGTCCGGCTCTACACCCTGAATGTGTTACACACCATCTACCGGCTATCGATTGCCCCATGAATGACTAATATAATCCGGCAGGTGTATACAAGAGAAAGTATTATATGTGACACAGCTCAGATGGTATATATATCTGCTCTGATGATTTTATGCGAAGGAAAAGCCTATTCAATAAAAAGCAATTTATTTGATGGTTAAAAGCCTAAAGCTATTTATTTTTAATCCAACAATTGAATCATCTCTGGCTCACCCTTTGGTTCATCTGAAGATCTAAACTTGGGGAATTGTCCGAAGAGGTTCCAAGTCGTCTTGAACAGAGTCTCGTACGAATTATCAATGTTGAAATACAGGTGAGTTACAGGTGGATACTTTGTCTGCAAGTGACCAAACTTTAATGCCAACCAGTGCTTGTTTTCCACGTTTTGTAGCAAGTATGGCTGCACTTTAGCCTTGGGTCTCACAGGCATACTCACCGGAAGAAACGTTATAGGATTGTCCAGGCGAGATGTAGCCAGGGGACAGTTATAAACGCAAACAGGAGTATTGTACGCATCAGCAACAACTTGAGCACAACCTGGGCTTTTAAACCAGATTGCTGATTCTGCTGCATCTTTTAATCCCCTGCTTATCGTGACCTTTAACTCAACGACATTTTGGCCAAGAATATTTGCATAATATTCCTTGTTCTTTTCTAGTGCCAGCAACATATCCTTTTTCACGAGTTGGAATTTGTTCTCGTCACCGTAATGCAAAAAGGCTATTGCTCTAAAGCCACAATAACCGTCTCCAACGGGATCATAAACGGCTTTCACATTAGATTTGTCGATTGACAAATGTAATTTCAAGAAGTTCTCGTTCTCTTCACCCAAATCAACCTTTCGCCTCTTCGTTCTCTCAGGCATCCCGACCCACTCATCAGCTTCTCTCTTCAGGCCCTTCACCTCCCAAACTTCTTCATCGTCGTCATTCTCCAATTCGACTTTGTGGATTGCAAGGTTACTTGCTGTTTTCTTGGCGTGATCCTTTTTCAAAGCACTGAGCCTCACCGTCTTCTTGGGCCTACCAGGTGATTTAACGTCTTCGTTTGAGGGAAGACGTAAAGATAGTTCGTCTACGTATGTTTCATCTTCAATCATAATAGTCATCACACTCTCTATAGCCCGTATGAACTGGGAGATACTTTGCGAATTTCCATCGAACGATCTAAAAGTTTGTTCGACTTTTGCCAGACAGTCATCCCAAGGTTGCTGGATTACTTCTAATGTTTCAGCTTCAACAGAAAATTCTTCATAACGGATTGAACTTTGTTGGCGTTCAAACCACCATCTGCTTGGAATGTTTTCCATCTTAATTTTTTCCAAACGTTGCAAGTCGTGAAAGCAAGGGAGACCATAATTTAGTCGGCATTGACAACTGCATGGACTGGAAATGTCAACCGATTTTCTTAAAAGCTCAGTACGGAGGGAAACCAACGCACGGTGAGTTACTTTCCCGATCAAATGGGCCAAACGAGGCTCCAAAGAAACGCGAACATCCACCTTATGTTTTTCCCCATTTTCAATGTCCTTATATCCTCTTTCAAAATTGCTCAGATTACTGTCAATGGTGCTGAAAGCCAAATCAAGAGGTTGAAGGGAAAACATTCCCTTTTTGACAATACTATGTCCACTCTCGGCCCTTTGCGTTGTAACGCAACCAAAGTGTTTAAACTTTGAGGTAATATGACCTGCCCATTTTTCGGTATATTTCACCCATTCATTGGTGTAATACTTATTGAACTTTTGCTGCATTTCAGCATTGGTAAAGTTATTGGTGTTCGAAAGAATCTCATCAACATGTTGTTTCAAAAAATTGTATCGTTCAGATGTAGAACAAGTCATCATAGCGAAAACTTTATTTTTCAATTCGCTGCAGATAGATGAGTTGTTGAAATATTTCAGGGTGGCATTGTTGCCTAAATTTTGGATTAAATGCCAAGTACACAACAGCTTCTTGTTGTCAGGGAAATGATTATCAAGTTGATTCATCAATGCAGTACATTTGTCAGTGACAAAGATCGTCTCGGATGAATAATGGTGGACGTCTTTTAATGTTTTAACGAACCAATTGTACATCTCCTCCTTTTCATTAGCAACCCATGCAAAAGCAATAGGGAAGGTTTTAAGGGTATCCTTCCCCAAGTTACTGACACCGAAAGCTGAAATCAGAGGCATTTTTAAATCATTCGTATTGTATGTTGCATCGATAACAACTACCTCGGAGAAACGCTTAGCTCTCGCAACCAATGTATCATTGGTGAAAAATAATCCATCAAGGTTTCTAGATATAGGATCACATCTGTATGCAGTGTTATAGCCTTTACTCTCGATGTGGTGGATGAGCAATTTAGCTCCATCGTCAGACCGAAGGTTCACACGATCCGTATTTTTGTATCTTAAATTGTTGATATCATGAACTGTCAACTTGTTGACGCCACTTTCAGCGCTGATCAATTTTTGGATCAACTTTGTTGGTATTTCCTGCTCGATACCCTTCTGAATTTTTTCAACATCGTCAGAATTGAGCTTGTTCTTTCTTCCATTACTGCTCAAAAGAACATTTTCTGCACTGAGTGGGTGATTATGAAAATGTTCATCCCCGGTAGGTTGAGTGTAGGAAAAACCTCCATCCTTGGTTGTTTTTACTTTAATGTAATAAGGGCAGTTACATTTGCAACTGTCCTTTTGACGCTTACGATTAGCTTCGGCTAATTCACGAGTGTTACGGTAAACACCGCCTCTTTTACATTGAAAATGAATTCTGGTTTCTGAAGAGCGAACTTTAGTCAATTCAAAATTGTTTTCGAGGGCGTAGCTTTTAATAAGATCGGTGGTGATTTCCTTGGTAGCATTAGGTGGTAATGTTGGCAAAGGAGCAGACACCTCAAAAAGTTTTAAGTCGGTATTCATTTTTATTTTTAGAAAAAAGTAAAGTAGAAGTTGTTTTATTTTGACAGGGTTTACTGTGCCTTAGGGACAGCCACTGCCTTAGGGACAGCCACTGCCTTAGGGACAGCCAATTTTTCACGTGATCTCTTAGGGACAGCCAAAAGGTACCCGATCCTAGGCTATGACTACGTGCACTTTGGCTGTCCCTAAGAAAAAATTGGCTGTCCCTAAGAAAAGCGTAACTATTTACAGAATCAATTATCCGGATACCATCCTGAGATATAAATTTAACGGATAAATCATACGCGTTCCCA